TGGAGGTGGAGGCCTCCCTGTCCATAAAGTCTGATTCTGTTAAAGCTAAGGCTGACTTCTGCAAGCGTGACAAGAATAAACACAACATCTACAGCTTCCACAGCCAGTTCACAGAAAGGATCACTGAAGTAAAGGGAGGTCAGCACATGGTTTCTGACCTGCTGTTTTCAGACAAGCCTGAAGCCATGCAAAAGTGGCTGGACAGCCTGAAGACCATGCCGGGAATCATCACCTACTCTCTCCACCCCCTGCATTATTTGGTGCAGAAGCCAGAGACCAAAAAGGCGGCGCTGAAGAAGGCAGTACAGGACTACATCCTGGAGAAGGCCCTATACAAGCACTGCTCCAAGAAGTGCTTGGGAGGTTCAACACCCAGCAAACATGACCCCTGCCACTGTGTCTGTGTGGCCAGCAAAGAAACCAACTGCAACTGCTGCCCAACTATGCCGGGTCTGGCTCAAGTGACGGTTACAGTGCAGCGGGCCCAGGGCTTGTATGGAGACCAGACTACCCAGACTGACAGCTATGTCTATATTGCTGTGGCCCACAGACATACCCAGACCAGGGTGATTGACAACAATGACAACCCGATCTGGGACAGCGAGTTCCCATTTGGTACCATTCAGCTCTCACCAGACACAAAGATGAAGCTGGAAGTGTGGGACGTTGACGGAGGTTGGTACAATGGGGACAACGACAAGCTGGGAGAGTGCACGATCAATCCCGTTAGAGGCCTTCATAACAAAGTCTGTCCACTGAACCATGGCAACCTCTACTACTCCTACAAGGTGGAGTGTGCTCCTGGGCTCACGGGAGAGCGATGCAGAGAATACGCCCCTTCTCCTATGAACCCCAGACTGGCCGACCTTTACACATCCCGGAATGCCTTCAACGTCACGCCCGTACTCCTTGAGCACCTCAGAAGGGGGCAGTCCATCGAGGATCCCCTGCCGTTTCTGTTATCCCACAGGAGTGATAATAAGATGCTGGGCTCCTCAGGTGGAGATACTCCTCATGCTCCTGCTGAGCCCTAAAGGAGGAAGAGATGCACGCTGCCATGAGGATGTAGTATCTGCTTTAGCTCTCCCCTTTCTGCCCCCTAAAATAGGCCTAACCACACCCATGCACTCAGCTTATGTACCTTGCATTTCTGAGAAACATGCATCTCTACTGCAATAAAATCAACTGCAACTTTACTAAAGAATTGCTGTGTTGCTGTTTTAATCCACGCTTATCGACCAATTCGTTTAATGACCTGTTTTAATTTACAAATATCCAAAGATCTTTAGGCCACTCTACATAAGAAATTTACAAATAAGAGGTGGCTTTTTGGCCCATCAAGCTTGTTTTAGGAGCATTCAACTTAACATCAGAGTTGTTAAAATCTTATCTAGCTCTGATTTAAAGGAACCCAAGGTTTTAGCTTGCACTACACTAACAGGAAGACTATTCCATACTCTAACTCCACGCTGTGTAAAGAAGTGCTTTCTCAAATCCAGTTTAAATTATTCTCCCGCTGATTATCACCAATGGCCACCCGTTCTTGTATTTGAACTAATATTGAAGTAAGTATTTGATTGAACAGCATCCAGACCTGTTAGAATCTTATATCTTATATACCTGGATCATGTCCCCCCTTAGTCTAATTTGCTTGAGATTCAGCTCAGCTAATCTCTCCTCATAAGACATTCCTCTGAGACTAGGAATCATTCTTGTAGCCTTGCAGTGAATCCTTTCTAAGGCATGAATGTCCATTTAAGCTAAGGTGACCAAACCTAGAGATGTAACCCCGCATCCTATTGGCCTTTTGGCTTTACAATAAGGCTCCCTTTTGCCACTTGTAAATGCCAGTAACTTATTAATAAAAAGAAAACTGTGTTAGAACTTGTTTAAAATTGTCTATTAATAATTTACAAAGTGTTACAACCCAATTAATAACCAGATTGTAAACCATTCATAAACTCTTTATATGAGTAGCCTTATTGTAAAATGGCACCGGCCTTTTCAATTGCTACCCCACATCGGCGAGAATGGAGCATGGACGAGGACTCATTCTTGTAGCCCTATGTCGTACCCTTTCTAAGACAGCAATATGTTTTTTAAGATAAAGTGACCAAACTTGTACACAATATTCTAGGTCGGGTCATACCAAGGAATTGTATAATCTTAGAATCACCTCCCTTGACTTAAACTCCACACACCTAGAGATGTAACCCAACATCCTATTGGCCTTTTTTATTGGTTCCCCACACTGGCGAGAGTGGGACATTGAATCATCAATATGCACACCAAGGTCTCTCTCATAATCAGCTACCTTTATTTCAGTGGAACCCACAAAATATCTGTACTTTATATTTCAGCTCCCTGCAAGGATTGAGAAAAGATTAAGAATGGCTTCTCCCCTGGTAGACATTTTAACAAACCAAGTAAAAAAACAATATTGTACCAGTAACACCATCTCCAGTTAATTTACAGAAGAGCCAGGATCTATGTCCCACTGTATCCCAGATAAATTAAAATCACCCATAAATACCACATCATTTTTATTACTCATGTGGCTGTATAACATTCTGCTTTACTCTGCAGCTACATTAGGTGCTTTATAGCAAACACCAACAATTACACCATTTGAGTTTTGAGCATCTAGTTTTACCCATATATGTTCTGTAGCTCTATTTTTATCAGTGAGCTCCCTTGCCTGCAAGTTCTCTTTTACGTATACTGCAACACCACCTCCCTTTTTGCCTATCTGGACACTGGCATCCTGGTCTTACCTCCAGACTCCTCCACAGATGAGACTGATGGTGCCCTACTGTGTTTCTCTCTTAGACTTCCTTGAGCACATTGAACCTCAGATTCTTTTCCATCCTCTGCTGATACCACCTTCAAAGCAACTACACCAATCTCTACTAAAGATGCTACTATTGAAGCCTTTATCTCCCTCTTGGTCACAGATCTTAAACCCTTCATATTGAAGTTCTCTGCTATCAACAACAAGCCATCTTTTTAAAGAAAATCTAACTTTTCCTCTGCTGGAGTATCAGTAAACCTCTGCACATCCTCACTAGGCACATCACACTACTTAACTATAACAAAGCAATGCAGCCACACCAAACACATCAAAAAACCTTTCCGAAACCTTTCCAACAAACTAAAACAAAAAGAGATCCCGGATGAGCAGCCATTTAATGTTACAACCCAACCTGGGGAACATTAACATTTATTTATTGCTTACAGAAATGTGACCATACTCTGTAGTAGAGAACATGGGATTTAGTTCATTATTGTTGTTATCATTGTTATTTAAAAAATTGTATTTATTTCACATATTTACTTTTATAATGTGCAAACAAGTGTCAAATGTGTCTGGAGGTTTAGTAATAAACAATTCCAAAACAAATTTAGTTTTCCTAGCTGAATCGTACCAAATCATGAAGCCAAAACTGAGATCTATATCGAGCCATGAATTTTGTGTATTGTTACACCCCTATACTTCTGTTTTTAACAGAATATCAATTTCTTTTCTGGGCTTTAAAAAATTGTGCTGTCGGCTGGATGTGGCCCATGGTCCTAAAATCTGACAAATGTGTTTTACACAAACCTGAACAGCGTAACTGCTTGTTGTATGTACGTATGCATTTTGGTTTTCTATTTTTCCTCTTGATTTAGGTCGTGTCACGATCCGCTCCGTCCGATCCCGATGTGTGCCACGCCCCCTCATTACCTCGTGTTCATTCCTGTTTGTGATCATCTGTGTCCTGTTTCATTTGATTAGTCCTGTGTATATTAGTCCGCGTCTCCCCATGTATGCCAGATTCGGCATTGTATTGTCCGTCGATGTCT